ACAAACAACAGTATACAAAACAAAAAATAGAAAAACAAACACTAAGCAACTAAACCGCCTTCAAAAACAGGGTGATCTCAGGTGCTTCGGAAGGGTGAGCAGATTCTTATCCACATGTGACATATAGATTATTTGTTACTTGTAGTCTATCATCATAGTATACAATTACAAAAGTATGGGTCTACAATTAAGAAGTTGGTACAACAAATCAACACGCAAGTATATTACGCCAGCAATGCATTTGTCTAATCCTTAACCTAAAGCATATTTTGCTGACCATGAATTCGAGAGTATCACTTTTACCTGAAAACCTTTAATCGTTTAGAGCAAGTATAATTCAGATACAACGGCATCGCGATCAGCTAGTCCTAATCTCATTAATCAGGTCTGATTGATTAATATTGTATGTTGTATTATCCTTCCACAGTCTAGCTAAATGTGTGGCCCTCAGAACGGATGGCGCTCACCGTTGGTTGCTTCATGAGCATGTTCCCTGTAAGTTTAACTTTGTGTCATATAAATAAAGATAATGTAACTGAAATCCAAATAATTGTATTCGAAAATAAAAAAGAAAAAAAGAAACACGCCTTCTCTAAAAAAAACCAATCTGACGTAATTAATGATATTGTGAAATACTCTGTCCCTTTTTAAAAATTGTTTTGATTTAGTCCTCGGTATTGTCCTTATTCAATATAATATATTCTCTTTAATATTATTTATGTTGTCTTAACATAACGTTTCAAACAGCTAAAAGGACTACCAAAACAAAAGACACATAGGGTTACACCATGGAGATGCAACTTCTGTTATACAATACATCTATTTGAAACTACCCTTTATAAAAGATTTTTGATCAACTTTCTCAACCGTTCATTACAAGCTAATAGTTTTGCTAATTGTTAATTGTTTGTTCTAACAGTTCATAATCAGCGGTATCAGCCTCGTTCTAGAAAATGAAAATAGCACTTTATAGATTTGGTTTGGCCGAAGTGGTATTCTCGCTTACCCTGTACAAACAAATTATGTTTCCTTAACGTTATTAGCAGTTTACTAAAATTTTAAGCAAATTAAGATCGAATTAAACAACTAGTAGGGGATCAATCATTGAATTGTTCGGACACCGAGTCATACTACGTATGTAAGGAAATTGTAAGCAACGATGTTTCTTTTATTTTAACATATGTTTCCCTTTTCATTTATCATTTTTTTTCCGTTCTATATGTTTAGTTATACATGTATTATCGCAATCATTCTCTTCAAGTTTTAATTTTAAGAGGTGATTTTGTTTTGTTTTTTGATAGATTTTCTAGCTTATTTTCCGTGTTATGCACTATGCAGTCTTTGAAAAAAAATCATTTCATTTATCACTTAGGTTATAGAATTGTTTGGTAATCATCAATACCAAGCTCTTCTTACAAACAAGACAAAACAAAACAAACAACAACCATATTCCAACTAAAAGGGTAATACAAAAAGCCAAAAACAATAACACATAAACACATAAACGATACAGTATATATTGTTCAAAAGAAAATTGAGAATGGAAAGGGGAATGTGTCAAAGAGACAACAACCCGACCAAAGAGCAGGAAACAGCCGAAGGCCAACAATGGATCTTCAACATAGCGGGAAAATCCTGCACCCGGAGGCGGGCTTCAGCTGGCCCCTTAAAAAATGTATACTAGTTCAGCGAAAATGGACGTCACACTAAACTCCGAAACATGTTAATGAACCAAAATTAAAAAAAAAAACATATAAGACTTACAAAGGTCAGAGGTTCCTGACTTGGGACTGGCGCAAAATGCAGCGGGTTTAAACATGTTTTGTGAGATCTCAACCCTCCCCCTATACCTATAGCTAATGTGGAATAAAAAAAAAACACACAGCAATACGCACAGTAAAAACTCGGTTTAAAAGAAGTCCCAGTCCGATGTTAGATAAGTTAACAGAAGAAACTTAGCAAAATGACAATGATGATTATAAATTAACAAAGGACTTCTAGCAGTTACTGACATGCCAGCTCCAGACCTCAATTAAACTGATTGAAAGATTATGTCTTCATCATATGAAAATCAATCCCTCCCGTAAAGGTTACGTACCATACAATCATAAAATAAACGAGAAGAACAACCCGTATCATGCCAATATCTGGTTTTAGAATAAATGTTTTTATTTCCGACGCAAAGACCCTATGAGTGAATCAATATTGATTCAAAAAAATGCCATCTTTAATGACTTGACAACAGTATCGTAAATATATCCCTTCTGAATAAGTCTGTTTAAAGGTTTGGTTAGCTTTTGAGGTGAATGACGACATTTTTGTGCTTTGTATAGAATATTACCATAAAAGATGGGATGTGAAATACCTGAACGTTTGAAATGTCTGCACGTTGATTTATATTTACGAATGATGTCCTTGTACCGATGATAAAATTTAGTAATTGTTTTGACAAGTTTATGATATCGAAAACCCTAGTGTAATAATTTTTCAGTAATACAGGGATTTCTTTCGTTAAAATCAAATACACGGGATATATAAACACCATAAGATGGTGCCAATGGAACGTCACCATCTAAAAATGAATAATTAACAATAGGAAACTTAAAATCATCTCTTTTATCGTAAATTTTAGTATTAAGCTTCCCGATAAAGATATAGATATCAAGATCAAGGAAAGGACCGTGTTAATTGTTAGTATTAGCTTTATTTAAAGTCAGTTCAGCAGGATAAATCTCTTTATAGTACATACTGAAGTCGTCATTATTGAGATCAAATATATCATCCAAATATCTAAAAGTGTTATTAAATTGTTGTATCAGATGTTGTTTCAATGAGTCTTTCCTGATTTTAGTCATAAATTGTAACTCGTAACAATACAGAAAAAGGTCCGCAATAAGTGCTGCAAGTTTAGTACCCATTGGAATTCCGATAACTTGACGATATACGGAATCTCCATAGGGAACACAAATCTTATCTAGTAAAAATTCAAGTGCAGTTATCGTATCAAAGCAGGTCCAATTGACATAATTCTTTTGTCTGTTGTTACTAAAAAATGACCTAAACGAGTTTTAACATACATATTCGCGCTCCGACTTTTTAAATGCCCATTTAATTAGGTATGGGATTTTTTTCTTAATGAAATTATGAGGCAAAGTGGTATATAAGGTAGAAAAAATCAAAACTTTGAACAGATTCAGTCACCAATAAGTGCATGTTATTTATCAAGTACTTCCAACGAATTTTAAAAAAAATTCAAAATCATATCCAGATGTCAAAAAGTTTCAATATGTTGTAAAAACTAACTTTCTGATCCCGTAAAGTGGAGTTGCTCTAGAGGCATGCATGCAGTGGAAGATCCAGAAGTAGGGGTCTGCACTGGTCATGCTTCAGTGATTACCTACATATAAATCAACCAACCCCCCTTTTTTTTCTGCGTGCATCAATCTCTCCGTGTGTCTCATAAAAATGTGCAAGTGGTTTTCTAGTTGTCATCTTTTTACCTTGTTTTCATGTCAGTTTTCGTTATGTATTTTGAGGGAAAATGCTAATTTTGATGTACAATATGTGGATTTTGAGGATTATTATCTCTTTTTGCACAATTGACCAAAACATATTTTGAGTACTAGTCACCAACTTACCGTTTTTACCATGTTACAGATTTTAGTACAAGCCATTTTGCTAATGATAAATGCCATAAGGTGACCTATAGTAGCTGACTTCTATGCCTGAATAGTTGTCTCATTGTCAAAGATATCACACGTTCTTATTTTTACAATACAAATTTAATTAATGTATACATTTAAACATTTTCACAACAGAAAGCAAACAAAGACTTATGGCTGACCATGTGGTATGGGCTTTGCTTATTGTTGAAGACTTGATGGTTACCAATAGCTGTTTCTGCGTCATTTGTTCTCTAAAGGAGAGTTGTTACATTGGCAATCGAACCACATCTTTTTATTTTGCTGAACACACATTCTTTTTTCAGGTTGATCAATAATTTGAAAGGGTCCTCTATATGTCAATCAGTAAACTGCAGCTTCTACTAGACACATAAATTGAAATTCATTATTTGAGTAAAAAAGAGATTAAAAGGTTAAAATTAAAATTTGTTTGCTAGAAAGAAAGATGTCAAATGGCTTTGTTGACTTTTATTCCCTATCCTTTGCATCCATGCCAAATTTAAAACAAATTGAAGAAAACACATGAGCTCAATCTGATGAAAGGGATCTGTATTATGTATCCAAGACATATATAATATTGCACTTATTCTGTTGCACAATATACAGAAAGAAATACAAGCATGAACTATAAGCAATTTTTATTAATTAATAGACTGGTAATTTAGTCCATTATGTATCATATTGTAAATATATATATATATATATATATATATATGAATATATAATGTTTGAATCCAAATTAACATTTGCAATTTTCATTATCTGTCACGTAAATTTTTTTATCACAGTTGTTACAAACACTTATTGTATTACATATTGAAAACTAAAATGTCAGTAGGAACAGTAAAATTTAAAAACCATCAGTCAAGATAAATCTGATAAAACTTGTTAATGAAAAGAAAAATATTTGCAACCTGTATAAAATTTAAACCACATCAACTCTTATTGATCTTTGCATAGTGTTTGAATTCTTTATTTGATAAAATGATAAAAGGCAAAATAAATTCCAGCACATATTAACAGACATATATGCAAGAACAGTACTACATCATAACCCTTCATGTACAAGCTTGGTCAAATAACAAACCAGATACTCACATGAACATGTATTTTCTCATATAATTTTTCTATAAATTTTCTTTAAAACATTTTTTTATAACAAATCATTCTCACAAGTCATTATTTAATAGTATCATTCTGAAAAAATATCTATTTTACAAATTTCGTTAATAATCATGTTAATTTTGGATAAAATTTTACCAACAAGTGTCGTAACAAGATAGAATATTCCATTTTTAATTAATTCATATTTGCCTCCTAAATTAAGATATGAAATGTGAACAGAAGACAAGAATTGACACAAACTGATGGCAACAGCTGACAAATCCTTAAATAAGTAGTGATATTATACAATGACAGTACAAATTATAAACATGTTATAAACTATATATCAGGTAGATATAAGTTTAAGTAGTCTTTTTCAAGTCTAACAAATTACATTCACTAATATGGATCACACAACATATGTGTGGTACACAATATGATCATTCTTACTGTGGTAAAACAAAATGTCATCTTTGACTTTAAATCCTTCATACAATTAAAGAACTATAGACAACATTATAAAATTTTATAAAAAATTTTACTACTAAAATTCTATTTCCTGACATTCAGCATGGACGGATCAATCAAATTGCTAAAAAATAAGGTATGCGTAGTAGACTACAGGACCAGTCAAAATTTTCTAATCTCTTATCCAAAAATTTAGCTCACAAACAAATATTAACTTTAACATTTATGGTGCAATGTAGTATTTAAATCTTTATATTATATATATTGACCTGATTCTCCATAAGGTCAAAGATTTAGCATCCTAAGAAATAGGTTTCTTTGATAATAACAATTATTGCTAATTGATATAATAGAAGCTTGGTCACAGAAGCAAGTATGTCTGTAGATTAAAATTTCTGTTAATCTCTAGTAGCATTCACCATAATTGTTCCATTTAAATTCTACAATGTATATATAATCAGATTCATATGGAATCTAAAACGATTTACTCTTCATTTCATATAACAAAAAAATCATACACCTTCTGAATGATAGATTTTGATGTTGTAACACGTACTACACCTGAACTATTTTTCTGAGACAAAAGTGCCCTCAGTCCATCAATACCATTTCTTTGAATTGACAAAATAAAATGCTTCTTGCACAACCCAGTTGAAGCTGCCTTTTTGGCTAATTGTTTTGACATTACTTTATTTTCAACAAGAGCTTTGAAAGATAAGTCATTTTGGCAATATTTTGGGTACATTCCATCAAATGTATACTTACAGAAATGAGAAGCTAAATTTCCATGTGATCGCACCAGTTTAAATAAAGATTTACAGTCATACAAAGCATTATGTGCATCATAACTTTCCCCTAAAAAATCTGACACTAAATCACACTGCTTGTAACTTTGACGACCTGGATATTCACTCCTAAACAATATTCTTGTGTCAATGAACCCATTAAGATACAGGCAAAATTCATCCCACATCTTCAATTTATTCAATTGATTATACAGTATATGGCAGTCAAACGTTTTTATATTGTGTCCAACAAGTGTTGGTTTAGAAGGAAACTTGGACAAAAAAGCAATAAGATTAGTAAAGACTTCAAATGGTGGTGAACTTTCCACAGGAACTTCATCATAGTACATTTGCCCATCAAAGAATGCAAGTTTTGTTATATCAGATGCCTGTGGTGATATCTTCTTTGATGGCATAACATAGGCTGAGAAAGTTTCATTCTCAGTTAAAGCTGCTATCTGTACAATATCTGACTGACGAGCTGAAATTTTTAAAATGATCTGTTAATCAAACTCAATAGATATAAGAAGATGAGGTATGAGTGAACTGTCCATCCAAGTCACAATTTATTAAAGTAAACTATTATAGATCAAAGTACGTCCTTTAATATGGACCCTTAGCTCACACCCAACTACAAGCTAATAAAATGCTCTGCTGGGGCGCAGCTTGATACGACCGCAGAGGTCGAACCCTGAAAACCAGTTGGGGCAAGTATGGACACAACATTCAAGCTTGATACAGCACTGAATTTGGATTGTAATTAAATATTTGACACAGCATAGGTTTCTGACACAGAATGAAAGTGGTCTAAGAACTTAAAAAATTTTAATTTACCTATTCAAACCATATCATTAATATTTGCTTTTATATATAAATCAGAAATAACCAATTTAAAATGGAAAATTTTAAAGAAAAAAAAGGAAAAAAAAATCACCCCAAAATTTTTTGAACCCCCTTATGATTCATCACCCCCAAACTCAATCTTAGCCTTCCCTTTGTGGTATGGTACCTTGCAGTACAATTTCAGAGAGATCCATACACTTGAACACAAGTTGTTGTCTGGAAACTAGAAAAATGCTTAATTTTGGCCCCTTTTTGGCCCCAAATTCCTAAACGTTTAGGGCAATTACCCCCAAACTCAAACCCAGCTTTCCCTTTGTGATATGAAACCTTGCAGTACAATTTCATAAAGATCCATACACTTACACACAAGTTATTGTCCTGAAACTAGAACAATGCTTGTTTTTTGGCCCTTTTATGGCCCCTAATTCCTAAAATTTTGAGGTAATTACCCCTAAAATCAATCCCAGTCTTCCCTTTGTGGTATGGTACCTTGCAGTACAATTTCAGAGAGATCCATACACCTGAACACAAGTTATTGTCTGGAAACTAGAAAAATGCTTATTTTTGGCCCCTTTTTGGCCCCTTATTCCTAAACATTTTGGGCAATTACCCCCAAACTCAATTCCAGCTTCGGAACATCAGGTAAATGAATTTATTCTTAAATTTATGAAATAAAAGGGTTAATTTTTCAAAAAATAAAATTAACCTCTGTATTTCTGTAATTGTTTTGTACATAAATCAGGTGGTTAGTTTTTTTCTGGTTTTGTCATTTTGTGGCCTTCCATACCTGACTGTGTGGTATGAGTATTGCTCATTGTCAAAGGCTATATGGTAACCTATAGTTAACCTCTTTGCCATTTAGTCTCTGGTAGAGAATTGTCTCATTTGGCAACCATACTACATCTTCTTATTTTATAATCATTATTATAACTTCAAAACAGGAACAACTGAAAATGCCAAGGATGGTTCTGTATATATCAGAGTTTTATTGTTGTGTAATAGCAATGACTTAGGCACATTTAGTATTCATTGGGGAATCAATTAATAATTAGAATATTTTATTGTGAGAATATACCCAATACTATTACAAAAAAGAAGCATTCAATTCTTGTAATTATATTATTAAGCTACCACCCAATGAGTAATATCACGATTTTGTTCTTTTCCCATGCATCATTGTGACATTGTCATGGGAAGCACACACATTTATGAATGTTGTATTTTTTTGGAGAAAAGAAAGATATTTTGGAATTCTTTGTGATTTTTGTTAGCCAGCAAAAGTATACATTTTTAAGAAATGTAATTTCATGTAAAAATGAAGCTGTTTACACCAATAAATTTTGATTGATTATGTCTCAGATACACATAAATTTCTCTATAGGAATACATACACAAGCCTGTAGTTTCAAGATCAAATACTATAATTGGAAAGTTTTCCTCAGCTGTTATCTGTTTCCAAGTTGGAATTTCTTCTAGTTGGTCAGTTATATCATCCTCAATGTCTACAAAATAGTATAAGTTACACAGTGTGTAATTGTCCTAATACAAGAATTTATCAGGTGAATAAAATTCATATTCATTGAGGCAAAGCAAAACCCGATATGAATTTTATTCACAAAATAAATTCCATATTAGGACAATTGCACATGTGTAAAGAATTTCTCTTGATTTTGTTATATTACATATTATTATATTCATATTCAATTATTTGGACAATACCAACGAAATATATTTAGACATTTAATCTTAAATTTGAAAAATAAGTATTAGGAATTTAAAACCACTAATTTTTCTTGGTTTTTTTTTCATTATGTCAATGGTATAAGGGAGATAATTCCAATTTATGTAATAGAAAATTGTACTGAAATTTATTAAACCAATATCAGGTAATCAAATTGCGAGAAATTACTCTAAATCATGATAATTATTCTTGTTATTTGATTATTGCTTTACATTTGGTTTATTTTTTTTTAGTTAATTGTGCTAATGAGGATAATAGTTAAAGAAAGAGTTATTATATGTCATTTTGTAACTTGTGGAAAGTTGTCTCATTGGCAATTATAAACTGTTATATATTTGTTGCAAACGATGTTGTATTAGAATTATATTTGGCTTATAACCAGAAGCTTTGAGAAGTTTGCTAGGGCTTATTTGGATTAACTGTGACATGAATGAGAAAATTTGATTTAAAATATGTTGATAGGTAAGGCATGAGTTTCTTTTCAAAGGAAAAACTGAATGTGAAACGTGAATGAATAAAAAATGACTATGGATGCAAAATGATGGTATTACCTCACCATTGCATCCAGCAAGGTGAGCTTTAAATGAAAAGTGGCATGCTCCTGTATTGTAATTCTGTCAAACATGATATTTAATAAAATGCTCCGCAGGGCGCAGCTTGATACGACCGCAGAGGTCGAACCCTGAACAGTTGGGGCAAGTATGGACACAACATTCAAGCTTGATACAGCTTTGCATTTGGATTGTGATTAAATATTTGACACAGCATAGGTTTCTGACACAGAATGAATGTGGTCTAAGAACTTGAAAATTTTAAATTGGACATTCACCTATTATGGTCCAATATCCAAAATCTAAATACATGGTTAGATTCAGCATATCAAAGAACCCCAAGAATTCAATTTTTTATGAAATCAAACAAAGTTTAATTTTGGACCCTTTTGACCTCAATGTGGACAAAGTTGATAACAGGGCCCAAAATTAAAAATCTAAATACATGGTTAGATTCAGCATATCAAAGAACCCCATATATTCAATTTTTATTGAAATCAAACAAAGTTTAATTTTGGGCCCCGATTTGGACCAACTTGAAAACTGGGCCCATAATCAAAAATCTAAATACATGTTTAGATTCAGCATATCAAAGAACCCTTAGAATTCAATTTTTGTTAAAATCAAACTAAGTTTAATTTTGGACCCTTTGGACCTTAATGTAGACCAATTTGAAAACGGAACCAAAAATTAAGAATCTAAATACACGGTTAGATTCGGCATATCAAAGAACCCCAATAATTCAATTTTTGATGAAATCAAACAAAGTTTAATTTTGGACCCTTTGGACCTCAATGTGGACCAATTTAAAAACGGGGCCCAAAATCCAAAAACTAAATACATGGTTGATTCAGCATATTAAAGAACCCCAAGAATTCAAGAATAAAACCCCATTGAAATTGGTCAAGAAATAAGCAATTTATATGAAGTATCTTCTTTTGCACAATACTGTGCAATTAAATATTTCTTGCTATTGCGCAATACTGTACAATTGACAATTTCTTGCTATTGCGCAATATTGTGCTATTGGATACTTCTTGCTATTGCGCAATACTGTGCAATTGAAGATTTCTTGTTATTGTGCAATACTGTGCAATTGAAGATTTCTTGCTATTGTGCAATACTGTGCAATTGAAAATTTCTTGCTATTGCACAATACTTATTATATAATAATTTACACATCCTGTTTGGTGTGTATCTCCTACCATATCATTATTATTTGCTTTTATATATAAATCAGAAATAACCAACTTAAAATGGAAAATTTTAAAAGAAAAAAAAAAACGAAAAAAAGAAAAAAAAGGAAAATTTTAAAGAAATCCCCCCCACCAAACTTTTTGAACCCCCTTATGATTCATCACCCCAAACTCAATCCCAGCCTTCCCTTTGTGGTATGGTACCTTGCAGTACAATTTCAGAGAGATCCATACACTTGAACACAAGTTATTGTCTGGAAACTAGAAAAATGGGTTTTTTGGCCCCAAATTCCTAAACATTTAGGGCAATTACACCCCAAACTCAATTCCAGCTTTTGCTTTGTGATATGGAACCTTGTAGTACAATTTCAGAAAGATCCATACACTTACACACAAGTTATTGTCATGAAACTAGAAAAATGCTTGTTTTTTGTCCCTTTTTTGGCCCCTAATTCCTAAAATTTTGAGACAATTACCCCCAAAATCAATCCCAGCATTCCTTTTGTGATATGGAACCTTGTGGTACAATGTCAGAGAGATCCATACACTAACACACAAGTTATGTCTGGAAGTTACAAAAATGCTTATTTTTGGCCCCTTTTTGGCCCCTAATTCCTTTACTGTTGGTACCATAACCCCCAAAATCAACCTTGTGGTAAAATTTCATAGAGATCCATTCAATTAAACACAAGTTAGAGTGCGAAAACCAATGTGTCTTCGGACGACGCAGGACGACGCCGGACGACAACGACGCCAACGTCATACCAATATACGACCAAAAAAATTTTTTTGCGGTCGTATAAAAACAGAAAGAAGATGCATGTACCAATATTGGTTTCATAAGTTGTTCCCTCTAGAACTTCTGCTATACCATTGCTGTTACATTTCTCCGACTTTAGCTCAATTCTTCTCCTTTTATATTTCCTCGTCTTCTGTAATTTACTGTACTTTCTTCTGATCTTATCCATGAAGGTAGCACGCTTTATGGTAAAATTACCTGGTGAGAGCCCCATTGATTCATGAACCTGTTAAACTGCATGTCAGAAAAAATATTTAATAATTCCAACAGTATACATGTGCCATTCTCAACTTTAATCTTAATATTGTACACACTCACTGACTGAAATGTTATGACTAAAATTTGTTGAAGACGATATATGTCTCTGTTTGTATACCTTACCGACTCTACATAAATATTATTAAAATATTATAATATTGAGGATTCATTTATTTTGATGGGTACCAAATTTCATGAATTTCTGAAACCTTGGGTTTACCATGTTTATGTGAATGTGATGTTGTGGTTCTGTCAAAGTCTGGATACAACTTTAGAAAAATTTAATAAAGAATTACAGATGTTGCTCTAAATAGTTCATTTAATTACCTCATGCACATATCTGTGGCCTTCATTTTTCTGTGCCACTGTTGCACTAAACCTGTAACTCAGACTGTTAGATGCAGAATAATGTTTATATTTAGGTGCTTTTGTTGCTAACATTTGGTTGAGATTTTCATTTGTTTGAGTGCTAGCAAGATTTGCAAGTTTTTCTGCTTGAATTGATAATTTTTTAATAAAAATTCTATCCAGTTCCTTCCTCAGCTCTGGATTTTGAAGTGGTTTGCCGTATGGTAACTTACTAAATTTTGCCAAAGGGTGTTCAAGGAAGACACACCACTTGGTATTACAGAAGCTATGGTCACCAAAAATATGTCCTACCATTGCTTTCAAGCCAGTTGTTACACCTTCTGTGTTTTTTTTATTTTGCGCAACCATGTATGAAAAATTCTGCATGATGTAATTGATGACCCTTTGTGACAATTCTTTGTAATTCTTTTTTATTGCATATAACTGTTTTGATATGTTTTTCTTGATATGGTTTTTGTCCGATCTTTTCTTAAGTTTTATTTTAAGAACGTTTTGTGCCCTTTGAAAACCTGTAGTGTCATCATCACCAGCAATTTCTTTAATATCGACACCCTTATTTATTACATCTTTTATCATATCAACCACTAAAGCTGGCTCCATGCCTTTAGATGAGCCTGTATGGTTTTTGCTGCATTTGTGCTCTTTTGGAACTATACCTTTTCTTTTCGCAACATCACAAGTCCTGCAATTTTTTGATTTTATTTTTACATTCAATACCTTCCCGGTCTTCTGTCCAATCAGTGATGCACATCCTAAAACATGCATAACATATCAAAAGATTTAATGTTGTTAGTATAGAAACATGATATATTTTGTGCATGTTATCAATAGGATAATAACAAGCATTCTGTGAGCATTTCCTGGCAATACATAGTCCCCTAACAGATTAAAATTATATTGTACTAGAACAAAATGTTAACCAGAACTATAACTTGTCATTGTGTAAACTATATAACAAATATCAAGTCATTGTATTCAAAACAGATAAACAAAAAAATTTTGAACATTTATTATCTGAGTGAATTTTTTTATGTCCAAGGACCATAACTCTGCACAAAATAATCAGCCTGGAACTTAATTCGAACTTGATATTTAACTTGTCATGATAAAACTATATACCAATTTTCAAATAAATATCTTCAAGCAAGAAGAAAAGATGAGGAAAACTGATTAAGTGAGTGAATTTCCTAAGTACAAGGACCATAACTCTCTACAAAATCATTAGACCAAACCAAAACTGAACTTGATCTGTAACTTGTCATGATAAGACTATATACCAATCATCAAATTACTATCTCAAAGCATGACTAAAAATTTGTGTAAAACTTATTATTTGAGTTGAACATCAATTGATACTTCAAAATAATATTCTTCAATTTTTTAAACATAACAAATACTAATTTATATAGTGTTAATTGTGTTACTATACCAGACAAACTATTATAGGATTTCCCGGAGCCTTTTTTTTGCCAACAGGTATCAGTGGAAACTGCAATCCCTTTGTTTTCTCCATTGTCATCAGAATCTATTGATAAAATAAAAGAAACATGTATACAAAAAATTGCACAGAATAGCAAATTGATCCCAAGTTATATACAATATTTACTTCGTACATTATGAGAAAAAATAAAAATAACTTGTATGAGCTGTATAAACTGGACTAAAAGTGAGACTTGTTAAGCTTTTCCGGCTTTTGTAGAGAGTACAAATAAATTTTATATTTCAGACAATGTAAATATATATTTGTATTTTTATCAATCTGATGAGTTAAGTCTTTTTCAACTGATTTTTATACCTCGTTCTTATATTGTACTGTTACACCACTTGTTCTTATATTGTTATGTTATACCACTGTCACTGTCCCAGGTTAGGGGAGGGTTGGGATCCCGCTAACATGTTAAAACCCGCCACATTCTGTATGTATGTGCCTGTCCCATATTAGGAGCCTTACATTCAGTGGTTGTTGTTTGTTTAGGTGTTACATTTTTGTTTTTCGTTCATTTTTTATACGACCGCAAAAAAATTTTGTGGTCGTATATTGGTATGACGTTGGCGTCGTCGTCGTCGTCGTCCGGCGTCGTCGTCGTCCGGTGTCGTCGTCCGAAGACACATTGGTTTTCGCACTCTAACTTTAGTTTAAGTGAATGGATCTTTTTGAAATTTGACCATAAGGTTAAAAACCACAAAAGGAAGGTTGGGATTGATTTTGGGGGTTATGGTACCAACAGTTAAGGAATTAGGGGCCAAAAAGGGGCCAAACATAAGCACTAGTTTCCAGACAATAACTGTGGAAATGGTGTATGGATCTCTCTGAAATTATACTACAAGTTTCCATACCACAAAGGGATGGTTAGGATTTGCTTTGGGGGGGGTTATGGCTCAAACCGTTTAGGAATTAGGGGCAAAAAAGGGGGAAAAACAGGGTTGTCCTGGTTAATGGACAAATACTTTAGTACAAAACATAATTTAAAGCAGTGTAAGGGAGATAAATCAAATACATCATTGAAATTATCTCCCTTACACTGCTTTTAAATTATGTATAAAGTAATGGTTAATGAACAATAAAGATAATTTAAAACAGTGTAAGGGAGGTAATCAAAATACAACGTTTTGGTTACTTCCCTTACACTGCTTTTAAATTATGTTTAAAGAAATGCATATTTATAAAGGAAGACCAGTAAAAATATCTTCAAATGTTGCATCTTTTTTTTTTACAAAAAAAAACCATATGAAAGATTTGACACTATATTTTTAATTCTATTATAAAATAGATTAAGTTAGCCCTATGGTAAATTCAAATGGGTAATTATGGTTGCCAACTCCATTGGAAATTTGAATTGAGATTATGACCATATCTTGAGGGAAAGAATTTTTTGGGGGAAAAAAGGGGGGGGGGATAAAAAGAAATTGTGGGGGGTCAATTTTTTTCTCATTTCAGATTTCAGAAATTAAAAAGAATTATTCTTCAAAAATTTTTTTTTTTTCAAATTTCAAATATTGATAAATTTCAAGAAGTCTTTAATTGCACAGTATGGCGCATTAGATTTGTAAAATCTTTGATCACATTTATTTATTTGTTATGCCGAATCTAACAGTGTATTTAGAGTTTTAATTTTGGGTCCAGTTTTCAAATTGGTCTACATTAAGGTCCAAAGGGTCCAAAATTAAACTTTGTTTGATTTTAGCAAAAATTGAATATATGAGGTTCTTTGATATGCTGAATCTAAACATGTATTTAGATTTTAGATTTTTGGCCCAGTTTTCAAGTTGGTCCAAATTGGGGTCCAAAATTAAACTTTGTTTGATTTCAACAAAAATTGAATATATGGGGTTCTTTGATATGCTGAATCTAACCATGTATTTAGATTTTTTATTTGTGGACCCCGTTATCAAATTGGTTCATATTGAGGTCAAAAGGGTCCAAAATTAAACTTTGTTTGATTTCATCAAAAATTGAATTATTAGGGCTCTTTGATATTCCAAATCTAACCATGTATTTAGATTTTTAATTTTGGGTCCTGTTTTTTAAATTGGTCTACATTAAGGTCCAAAGGGTCCAAAATGAAACTTAGTTTGATTTTAACAAAAATTGAATTCTTGGGGTTCTTTGATATGCTGAATCTAAACATGTGTTTAGATTTTTGATTATGGCCCAGTTTTCAAATTGGTCCAAGATAGGGTCCAGTATTTAAACTTTGTTTGATTTCAACAAAAATTGAATGTATGGGGTTCTTTGATATGCTGAATCTAAACATGTATTTAGATTTTTGATTATGGGCCCAGTTTTCAAGTTGGTCCAAATTGGGGTCCAAAATTAAACTTTGTTTGATTTCAACAAAAATTGAATATATGAGGTTCTTTGATATGCTGAATCTAACCATGTATTTAGATTTTCTATTTGTAGGCCCCGCTTTCAAATTGGTTCATATTGAGGTCAAAAGGGTCCAAAATTAAACTTTGTTTGATTTCATCAAAAATTGAATTATTGGGGTTCTTTGATATGCCAAATCTAACCGTGTTTTTAGATTTTTAATTTGGGTCCCGTTTTTTAAATTGGTCTTCATTGAGGTCCAAAGGGTCCAAAATTAAACTTAGTTTGATTTTAACAAAAATTGAATTCTTGGGGTTCTTTGATATGCTGAATCTAAACATGTGTTTAGATTTTTGATTATGGGCCCAGTTTTCAAGTTGGTCCAAGTTGGGGTCCAAAATTAATTTTTTTTTTGATTTCAACAAAAATTGAATATATGGGGTTCTTTGATATGCTGAATCTAACCATGAATTTAGATTTTTTATTTGTGGGCCCCGCTATCAAATTGATTCATATTGAGGTCAAAAGGGTCCAAATTTAAACTTTGTTTGATTTCATCAAAAATTGAATTATTGGGGTTCTTTGATATTCCAAATCTAACCGTGTATTTAAATTTTTTTAAATTCTAATTTGTGTATGTTAAGTACATGTATATAGTGTATTTAGTAGGTTTATATTTAAAAAACAGTTTAACTTGTGAGTAAAGTGTACAAGTAATTTAACATGTTTAATATTAATTTATTTTCAATACAAATCTTATTAATAGATATATATATATAAACTCCTATGCTGATCTTACTAAAATTTGTAATTTCAAACCCATATATGTTTCTTTCAATATGTCTGTGTTTTAAAATTTTGAATATAGGAAAAAGAAAAAGTATAATGAAATTAACACAAATCTGGAAGACCTCTGACATCAGTACATGAAATAGCTGTAATTATGCATGGTTATTGTTTCTTATATTATTTATACTTTACCAAATTTATCAAACAATTTTTGCCACACATGGAGCCATTCCAATTTTATAAAGTGTTTATAGGAGCTGCTTAATAACAAAGAATTACAAACAGTTGACATAAATAAACAAGCTGATTGTAATTAACAATTTAGTAAGCAGTCCTTAATTAAGTAGACAGCACTTCTGTATCTACAAAATATTTTACATTATTTAATCTTTGACACTAGTTTAAATATATCATGTACTGATCTCAAAAAATGCTTACCAATGAAAATAAAACAATCAACAGTCTTCTCTGAAATGTCCATGCAAAACAAATTGTACATCATTCTCTTCAGGTTTCCATCAGTTCAATTTAAAATTACAGATTAAACAAATGGTAAACTATTCTCTTCAGATTCCACCATTTGACACGGAAACCAGCATGGCAAGGAAAGAAAATCAACTGATTTACTAGTTTCTTTCACAATGCACAGTCCTAGCTGTTAGGGGAATTGAGCACTCACGAACTCATTAACCCATCAGCATTCTTAATGTGCTTGTCCCAAGTCAGGAGACTGTAAAATCAAGTTCAGTGGTTGTTGTTGGTTCATGTCTGTCATATAGGTTTTTCATAAATTTCTTGGTTTTAAATTAGTCTGTCTATAGTCTTCATAATTGAATTGTCTTATATTTTTCATGTCAGGTATTAAATAGCTGACTACATGTACATGTATGTATGTAACTGTGTAAGTGTAAATCATAGTTCCATCAGATTTGGTAGAGTATACTATATGTGGCTTAAATTTAATATTACGCTCCTAGATTTGTCACAGTCACCCTTTTCATTTGTAGCTATCAGTTATGTAAAAAAAAAGCAATGGGTTTTCGAAGGGATAAAACATCTCAAT